CAAGGAGGAGCAAGTGGGGAGCCTGGGCTTTGGTCTTTATTAGAATTCCCATGGGACAAGCATTGCAGGGTTGGGCAGAAAGTAACCAAGTTCAAGATGAGATAGTTTTAGCAAACAAAGGTTCGATACCAGTGAGCTACATCTTCTTATCATTAACAGTATAATCACCGCTATTGCACAGTAGCTCTGAATTAGCTCTGCGTATACAACTGATATACAGGAGTAGCTTTAGTTTGCTTCGGTGGTGTGAAGAAAGCAGGAGAGTGTTGCCCCTTAGACTGTGGAGCCCCACAGACTGGATTGATCACTGCATAGAGGAGGTATGCTGGGATTGAGGCCTTTGCTCCTCCAAGGGGACAGACTTTAAGATAAAAAGATCGTTAAGATGTTGCAACCTCACAATACACAGAAAATGAAGAGTAAGATGTGTAAGCTTTGTGCACACATGCTTTACCAGGGTGGACTTCCCTAGAGCCATTTGAGAAGGAGGTAGAGAATCTGTGTTTCTTTACCTTCTCTCTGCAGAGAAAGGCCAGAACGATACCTGTGTTATGGACCCCGCCCACTTCAGCTGACAATTCTCCACAAAGAACATGGGAGAGAAGGCATACTTAAGTTACATTTCTAAATACACTCCAATACCATGAGATCACTTGGATCTCATATTATTTTTCATTTTGTGTGTGATTTTGTTTTCAGAAAGCTGTGTGATACTCTTAATACAGTTGGATTTCAGTTCAAGATTATAGCAGTATCTCACAATAAATGATGATGAAATTGTGATTATAACAATTGGCGTCTGCTTGTTCTAATAGTCAAGGAGTGGAAAAATCTGACTGTATGTAGATGTTTTAGAACTTAGGATAGTGTCATCATTGTAATTGATGTGCTAGAAAACTTGAATCACTGTCTCATGAGATGGGCCGTGAGAAACAAGATGGCCTTTCTATCAGAAGCCAGTGTCCCATCTGAGGTGTTAGTTCAAATAAAGAAATGTAATCAAGGACATTGGAAGCCATGCTGGACTTTCCTCTTCAGCCTCATACTCTTTCTGATAAAAGAATATGAACCAGAAGTCCCTTCTACAAAGCTACAAATAGTCTGACCTTGAATTGTATTTCAGAACCAAGCTCGTCCAATGTGACTTAATGTATAGATATAAACGAAGCCCTTTAATTTATTATTTTAAAAGGATAAGGTTGGGGGCAGAGAAAAGTCTGGCGTGTTTACTGTGTAAGCAAGAGGACTTGGAATCAGAGCCTTGGTTGGATCCTGCTGTCATCACCCTTGGGATATGGAGGGTTCATCCATGGTGTTCTAGGACCAGTTAGACTTGCTGGATGAGTGAGCCATGAGTTCAGTGAGAGACTCTGTCTCAAAAAGCGCAGTGGAGAGTAATAAAGGAGGACACCCAGCATCAACCTCTGACCTCCACACTCGCGAGCACACAGAAAAATCAAAACTATGCAATCTCATGGCATTGGAGTATATTTAGAAATGTAATAGTAAGTAAGTAGTCACTCCCGTGTTCTTTGTGGAGAAGCATCGGCTGAAGAGGGCTGTGTCTATGACATAATTAAAGTCTGGCTCTTTAAGGCAGCAAGAGGTGAAGACACATAGATTTTGTAATGCCATTGTTTTTCTTTCCCTTTGTCCTTTTTAAAAGATTGACTTGGGTGATATAATGTAAAAGTGCTTGGCTAGTGAATTAGCTTTAGAAGATTCCCCTAGCTTAACAGACAGGAGCATCTTAGAGAATTTCCTGTATATTATGTTAAACCCCAAGCATGTGTTTGATGCTGTACATTGGTTCTGGTGTATGCACTTTCTAAGTATCTTATAACCCACCTTTATGGTTTCCTTCCTTTTCTTGGGGGCAAATTCAAGTGTTGTGGTATCTAATTTATTTTAGAATTGCATTTTATTGCAGTAGAGGAACTGTTTTGTGTGGCTGTTGTTTTAGCGTGTTTTGATATGTTCTGGAATGTTGAGGAACACTCCTTGTGCCCTGTCATTTATGGTCATGGCTTTTTCATTCTGCGATATTTCCTTCCTCTTATTAATGCGTTGTTATTGGACTTGATGCATGGGAAGCACAGTCCTCTAGTCAGCCCGTGGAACTTATGCTTGTTTCACTTATTAAAAATGAAACAGAAACTCTTGGCTTCTTTTTTTCTTTTCAACTGGGGCTGGAAAGGTCTTGTGTGTGCTATGCAAGCACTCCACCAGTGAGCAACATACAACCCTAGCCTCCTAGATCCCCTTTGAAAGAAGAAAGAAATTTTTAATTGAAGTGTAACTACATCAATTTCCCCCTTGGTTTCCCAACCCCTCCCATTGGAAACCCCACTTGCTCCCATTCAAATTCATGACCTCTTCTTCTTTAGTTGTTAGCATAATGTATGTTTGTAAATACAAGCATATATAAAAACAACCTGCTGAGCGCCTTTACTGTTGCTTGTGTGTATCATTTCAGCCCTAGACACTTGCTATTGGATAACCAATTAAGAGACTCATCCCCAGGGAAGACTATTTCTCCTGTTCTTAGCATTTCTTAGTAGTCTGTAGTTCTTTGTCTCTGGGTAGGGCCCTGTAAAATTCCCCTCTTCCATGTTAGCGAGTTCATCGGTGTTGTCATCATTCAGATCTTGTTTGGCAGTCCTATCGTTGATGATTCGTGGGTGAAGCTTCCCCGTCATTTTTTAGCAGATCCGATCTCACAGGAGAGTTCCTGTGCCTCTGGCTTTTTTAGTCTTTTAGCTCCCTTCTTCCATAACATTTCCTGAGCTTTAGGTAAGGGAGTTGTCTTGTAAATATGTCAATTAGGAAAATGATTAGAAATGAAGGATGTTTTATATAATATATATACATATATTAATGAGTTAGCATTTTAATATACCTAACATCCTTCATTTATATTTTATCCTAAAACTATAGATTTTACCGATTACCTTTAGCTTCCAGAAATGTTTGTGGGATGGTAGAAAATAATAGCTGTGTTATGTCTTTTGGTTTGTTAAATGCTGCTAAATTATATTGAATTACTCTTTGCCTCAATTTAGGCATGCGGATTTTAATAAGAAAGCTACGGTATGTGATAGACTGTCTTGTATATGTTTATAAAATTGGTGGGTTTGTGTGTGTGTGCACAGATGTCTGCACCTGTTGATTGCATTAAGCATTTGATGTCTCCTAATGAGGGATGGAGAAGGTGCTTCCATGCCATTTTAAGTGGATCATTTCTCCGAGGTGAATTGCATACATTCTTCATTTTGTATTCTGTGACCTTGCAGTCATGACTTCAGCCCAGAATAGTTTCAAAGTCATGTAAATGAATGCAATTAAGGTATTGCTTATCATCTTACATAGTTCAGATGGAACCTTACTGGATAGAGAGGTTTGCTGGCCTTATGAGGAAGGTCAGAATAAGGTTAAATTTTATTACATAAAATGATACAGCGATGTTTTTATTTAGCTGATGGAAAACTAGTGTCATAGTATAGTAGAAAAATCATAATGCCCCCCCCCTTCTCTAATTATCTGGATGTGTTCATCGGATTTTTGTTTTCGGTTGATTGGTTCTTTGTTTTGTTTGCTTTATTTCTGTCTAGAAACAAACTCTTTTAAGGAGATATACCTTTTGTCTACTTGAAAAACACATGGAACATCATACTGAGAGTTATAATTCTAGGTGTCTTTGACTACCACATAGAAGCTGACATCTGGCTGCTGATGGGAGATGGCTCTGGGCTTGCTAAGTAGATGTCCTAGGAGGACTTGGGATGTGACAGTGGGCACAGGAGTTTTAGCCTATGGGAATTAGAGTCCCACTGCATGGGTAGGCCGATTGTGGGCTGGAAGAAGCACTGTCTAGACACTGGGAGACTATGCTGAGGAGGAAATGGAAGGGAGTGTGAATGTGTAGATGTGAGATGTAGTGTGCTAGCATGGGAAAGCACCCCACCAGGAAATGTGGAGTCTGTGCCCGAGTCTCCGGACACTGGGAGATCCTAGCACAATTAAGATGAGCTAGCTGCTTTGTTTTGGTAGATTCCTGTTCTGATTTATGGATTTATTTTTAGTACAGCCGTGATCCCGGAGAACTGATCATAAGTTATGGATTAGTCAATGAAGAGGTCAGCAGTGTAAACTCTTTGTGAGTCCAGTGGAATAATGCTGTAGTGAGATCAGGGTGTGTCTACCATACCTTCCCTGTCTCTGGCTGACTGCCTTGTTTGCCAGCCCATTGATCGGCATAACGTTTACAAAGCCAGATTGTTACAGTAGAAGCCATGCCTCTGCCGGCTAAATGCTTCCAGCAGCTGTAGCCTTTGGAATGCCTGCACCCCAAGATAGTTATGAATAGAGCCCAATACAGAATCTTAAGTACTCGAAACACAGAGAGACTTGGGAGAGAGAGGGGGAGGGAGGGAGGGAGGACAGGCACAAAAGAGAGTCAGTTGTGCAGTTTTTGAACTTGACCTTGCTAAGCTGGGATTTCAAAAGGTTGAGCACCCCTGCAACTTTCTCTTTGTCACTATCATTCTGAGTTGAGGATGGTTCTAATTCTGAGTTTAACTTTCTATTCCTACTGGGAGGGAAGCAGCCAGGTGTTTCAAACTCTTCAAAGAATGTCAGATACTTCCCATGTGGTTTCTTCCAGAAATCCTTCCATGGTCCACATTCTTCTGCATCATCAATATTGGCTTACACCCCAGAGAGCAGGGGGCAGTCTACTGTTAGGGTGAAGACAGTTTTTTTTTTTTTTTTTTGCAGGTAATTCTGTAACACTGGTGCCTTAATTGGATGTGGTCAGCAGCCACACTCAAGAAAAGCCTGAGTGCCTGAGACTCTGTCCCAATACATGTTTGTTTTTGCCTGCCTCTTTGAGACTTTGAGATAGCTTACTTTAGGGTATCGTTAATACCCCATTTTCAAACACATTATTGAAATCATTACCTGCACTCACAGTAACACATATCGTTCTTTCTTTCTTTCAGAAGTGTGTGGATTGTGAGCTATTACAGAACTCAGTTCTCAGGACCCATTATTTTAACATTTGGGAGAAACACATCCAAAAGGTATTGTACTGTGTCTCATTGCTCCATTTTTAAAATAAATTACTTATAGTCAAGCCTCTGAGTGATAGGAACATGTGACTATTGTGCTTTATTCTGTTATTTTCTTTAACTTTGATCTATTGATAAATTTCCATTCCATCAACAGCCCCATTATTTCTTGGCTTGTTGTTTAGGCTATGATGGCTGAGATGTGTTGGAGCAAAATGGCTCACCTCTTTATGGATGGGAGGGTAGGTGTGAGGTGGGGGGTTCAGTGGGGGCTGGGACATGCCCTTCAAAGCCATAGCTATAGCAAACTACTTCCTCTAACCAGGCCCACCCTCCTAATCACCCATTTTGTTGTGAATTCATCAGGTTTTAATCCCTTGATGAAGTTAATACCCTCATGATCCGGGTCCCTCTCAAAAGCCTCAGGAGCTGAAAGGAACCTCTAACAAACAAGCCTTCTTGGGGACCACTTCATAGCTAAACCCCAGTGAAAAGGGTTCCTTCTTAATGGCCTGTACATGCTTCTTCTGTCTCGTGTGTCTCCATTAAACATCGCCAGTTTTCTTGCTTGGAATAGAAATAGATCGTGGAGGGCTACATAAATACAATTGATAATATAATGTATCTGTTAATGTTATACTGAGTAATGAGCTATTAAACAATGCATTCACTAACTGAATATTCACAGTCTACATTCATGTGAAACAGCACATACCAGTTTTATAAATTAACCTTAATCATTTCTCAAGCAGTATGAATACTGAGGGCAGGATGACTATTGCTTTGTTTCCCAGAATATGGGAAATCTTCGTTCTGAAATGTTTTGCTCCGAAAGATTCTTAGGCTTTTTACTGTACTTTTGGGAAAAGATTGTATGTTTAAAAATCTTGGAGTCTGAATGAATTTGGAATTGTTTTTAACTAACCAAAGATAAGAATTAACTCCTATACTTGCACATTTAAAGACAGAAGCATCTAAGAGCAGTGATGAAGAGGGTTATTCCACTTCTCAAGCTCTTGTTTATGAAAATGTGTCATGTTCTCAGAATAATTGTGTATGGTGGAGCATTGAACTGGATGCCACTATTAAAGAGAAACTCACCATTGCACTGAAGAATTATGTGGACAACTCCTTTATGCATTCAGAATAGGAATTGTTTGGAAGTCATTTCTTTGAAGATACAATACATGACTCATGCTCTTTTCTAAAAAACTGCTCACTTAAGGAGACAGTCTAACCCCCAGTGTAACTTCATCCCTTGAAGGAGCCGATCTTCCTTGGGAGCGCTGCTGTGTAAGTGCGTGCCTCCGTTGTCAGGCTCCATGGGCGTGCCCAACTTTCTTGTATGCAGCGTGCAAAGCAGCCTCTTGGCACTTGTTGAAAGTCACGTATGACTGAAATTCCATCTGGTGAGCACAGGACGTCCCTTCCTTACCCCTTTAGCCATTTTCTAGCACGGCCTCTCCTCATCGTGGTTACTTTGATGTCAAATGGGGATTATCATTGGAACTTAACTTTTGTACCGAAATGGTGTGGAACAAATACAATCCCCCTTTCCGGCAGCGGATTCGTGTCAGCCCCCTGGGAACCACTGAACAGTAGTTTTGATTTCTATGTTCTGCCTTCCCCTGTACATCCATGAGCGCAGTGTCCTTTCTCTCGTAATTAAGCATTCCTTGTACCCATGACTTTTGCTGTATGAAGTGTTACAGCAAAACTGACACCAATTTCTTTTTCACAGATTCTCGGGTAGATTTGTGCTTCTCCAACACCACTGCAGGAACCTCAATATGAGTTTTTTCCTAATTAACTCTTACTTTTCCATTGAAGGAAGCATTTTATGGTTCCTTTGAAGTACAAAGGATCATTACTAAGTAAATAACGTGATACTATGACAGTGACTCTGATACCAAGTTGTTTCCTGCCAAGCTGGCAGGTTACATATACAAAGTGGTTTGCTGGACAAAAGCAGGCTTCACCTGGTGGAAATAGGCGTCAGAGAGTTCATCATGTTCTTCAGCTGTGTGTGCTTTAAGACTGAGGAATTATTTGTCTTGACTTTTCGAGCTAATATTTTCAGACCATAGTTGATCTGAGAAAAATGCATCCACAGGGGAAGAAACTCTGATTTGTTCTGGGACCTTACATGAAAATCCACGGATGATCACACCTCTTACAAAGGGCGGTAGCGCTGGCACAGAACCCACTTCATTCTTACTCGATTTTAAATCACCTCTAGAATGTGTACAATACAATACAAATGGCGTGTAAACAGCTATGTGTGTTATAGTTTTGAGAATAATGTCGTAATTACTATTGCCATCATTAATATTATTATATATCGTTATATAATAAGAATGTCATTACTCTCTAAACTGTATCAGGGGTCAGGACAGTCTGTATACGCTCAGGAAATAGACCACCCCCACTAAATATTTTTCATCCAATTTGTCTAAATCCACAGATGCAAACCCTTTATATATGGGGATGCAGGCATCCATACTATTTCTCTTGGACCTGTGTAGGCATGTGCGGTAACCACATCACAGCCACGTTTAATGTAGCTACATGGCGAATGCTGGCCCGGAGGGACAAAGTTATATTAAGCCCAAGTGCTTCATATAGACTCTTCATTAACGAGTTCTTAAGTTTCCTGGTATGCAAACCGAGAGTACAGCGCACATCACTAGAACATTGTGAGAACTGAACAAGAAAACAGAACGCGTTGTCCCCGGTGGACTGTTAGAGAAAAAGAAAATGCTGTGGATACTCTAGATAACTTGACATTTTAGACGATCACTGAGACTCAGTTGCACACCCTTGTAAATAAACCAAGGCTTGTCATTCATTCCACACATCGGCTTTTCTTCCTTTTCTTGTACTTTTAAGTGTTGTCCCAACCCCAGCTATTCTGTACTTTTTAAATCCCCTTCAAGTCCGAACCTGCAAATTTCTGCCTACTGCTGGCGTTTCCTGGTCCCTCAGCTGTCCTCATGCCCCATTGCTTATCAAGCATGCGGTGTGTAAACCTCCTTTCATTCCTGCAAACACCTAGATCACATGGGGCTAGAGATGGCGGTTTCTTGAGTTTGAACTGTAATCTAATGGGTAAATTGGAAAGAAAGATGGTTTTTTACAGTTTTCCTCCCAGGCAGTAGTTTTCAGGTAAATAATTAGTAGCCTCTCACCTGGATTTGATTTCCCCCTCACGGTAGGTTGCAGGTTTTCAAAGTGATTTCTTCTGACATATCCAGGTTAAAAGAAGCGTCTCAGTGGAAAGGGTGAGTTGGGAAGTTGGCTTACTACACATGGAGCTGCTTCAAAACACATGCCCTGAACTACTGTTTGTATTCCTATAGGTTTATAGTTTTGCTGACTACAACAAAACGAAAGGCCTGTAGTTCTTACTGGGTCAAGATGTATTTTAAAATATCAACCTTTTTTCAGATTTTTTTTCTTTTCTTTTTTCATATTTACAAAAAAGATTTTCCTGCATAAAGGTTTTAACCCGCTTTATTCCAGTAAGGAAAATCCAGAGTGTATATGTCCTGGTAGTAACAGAAGCAATGCATTTGCTAAGTTTTCAGTGATGAATTGTCGGATCTAGAGTACCCTAAGAATGTGTTTTTATTCATGGTGCCTAGTGGGGTCTTCAAGGACTTGGATGTATATTTGTGTTTGTGGCACAGCTATTGGTCCAGAATACAGTGGTTTATGAATAGGTTCTCAGTCTCTGATGAAATGAATGAATGGGAGACTGGCTGTCCCATTTTTGTGGGACAATATGGAGGGTTTGTTTGTGGTGTCTGTGACTGGCCTTACAAAACCAAACTGGCTCAAGTTCAAATCCTAGCCCTGCCTCTTACTTATAAGATCTTCACATTTGCTGGGCCTGATCCTTATACTTGGTTACTATCTTTTTAAAGCTAAACGAGGCAGTATTTGACTTAGCACTAGTGGCAATGATGAATACTGCCCTAGTTAGTGTTACTCTGATGAAACAAAATGACCAAACAGCTTGGTAGGGAAGGGTTTATGTGGCTTACGCTTCCATTGCATCTCACCGAAAGAGGTCAAGACAGGAACTCAAACAGGGCAGGAACCGGGAGGCAGGAACTCACACAGAGGCCATGGAGGCGTGCTGCTTACTGGCTTGCTCCCCTTGGCTTCCTCAGTCTGCTTTCCTAAACAGACTGAGTGACAGTTTTAAAGCTGCATGCACTGTAGAATTAGCTCCATGCATCTGTTTGCTACCAGGGGAAATGATGAGAAAATATTGATGGAAACATCTGCTTTAAATATTGGCCTTAAATATTTTTCCCTGTGCTATAGTTAGCCATTTTTTTTTTTCTTCAAATGATAGCTTAGGGCCAGTGAGATGACTCAGCAAGTAAGTAAATGTATTTGCCACAAAGTCTCATGACTGGAGTCCCATCCCTGGGACCACATTCTGGAGCGAGAAAACTGTCTCTTGTGATGTCCACATATGTACCCACCTGCACACTGCACACACACACACACACACACACACACACACACACACACACAAGAATCAAATAACTAAACTATAATCAAATGGCTATTAAACATGAGAGTTAATAAAATGTTGACAAGTAGTCCTGGTCTGAATTTACAGATACCATAAATGTAGGGTTGAGTTGAACCTATAGTAGGACTTTTTAACATTGTCTGTTTTGGTTCAGTTATGTCTAGAGTAAGTTCTTTCACTAGTATAAATTGGTAAGGTTTTCTTACATCATGATGCTTAGGTAATTTTATTGAGACCTGTTAAACCCATTTAAACAGACAGGACATTGGGCTTTGTGACTGACTAAAGAGGTTTGGCTTTATTTAACAATCAAAGGGTTTTTTGACTCCAACTGCCATTTACCCACCCTCCCCCACTCCACCATGTCTGCAGTCTAGGGTTTCTTTGGGATAAGGGGTGGCATGGGTCGTGAATGGCAGTGCCCTGGGATTGCCTTCTAAAGAGTATACACACACGTGGGGAG